TGGTGGAAATATTTTAGGGACAAAAATGATATATGTGACTTGGGACATGGTGAGTTTGATCCTAATAAGACTTTCAAATAGAGATAGATGCCTGATGCTAAATTGAAATTAACTGGCAGGCAGTTAGAACATCCCTGGAGCTGGAGATGATGGTGAGCAAGTGAGTTTCCTTTACTCTGGAATCCCAAGAATTCTTAGTCATGCTCATTGTAAGTTGATAAAATAGAGAAGCAGTTTATTTCTCTTCTAGATGTTGGTATTTCTAACTCTCTTATGTCACTTATTTTACATTTCTGTCATAGTATTTGTGTGCAGATCTTATCTCCTTTACCAGAAAATAAGCACTTTGAAAGTAGGGGCCATATTTATTATAGTTTGTGTACTAACAGTCCTAAATACATAAGGGCACAATTAGCTAAATGAATGCATATGAATAATATTGTTGTTTTCTTATTTTTGTATTTATAATTTCTTCCAATGACAATCACTTATCAGTTTACTACCTTATTTTTATGAAAAGGTTATAACTAGGTATTAATCACAGAACTTGGATACAGGTGGATTATCTTGATTCTTGGCTATGAAAGTAGGTACCAAATATAAGGAAAGAGGCTTCTTATCAAATGGAAGCCCATCCTCCAGCAGGAGAGAAGATGATAAGGATAAATGGACATCCTAGTACCAGAAGATATCAATTTATAACAAATCCAGAAAAAGAAGCTACTGCATCTATAATCAATGGGAGGAAGAATATCTAAATAGAATTGACTCCTTTTTTTTTTTCTTTCCTGTTTTGAGTATCAAATACTTCTGTAATATTTTCAGAGTTTAAAATAGTCAATAAGAAATCTTTTTCTAAATCAACTTATCAAAAATACAAAATGGCTTTCTAAAAACAAAGTTCACAAAAAAGAGAAGTTAGGAGAAAGTTAAATAAATACTGCATATCATTAATTGATGTGTTATTTTAGGTAACATATGAGTTGCTTTACAGCAGATCATTTTACCTATTACTCTGTTTAGCTTAATTACTATCGACAGACATTACCTGAAATGAGGCATCTATTACAGGAAGAGTTAACCAATATGAGAATAAATCCAATAGGAAAAGTATTCAGTCCCCAATCCATTTATTTAGCATTCTTTCTTCACTACTCTTTTTTTTTGGAATGGTCTCTACTTAAAATGAAAAGTGATCTTTTTAAAATTCCTACTTTCAAGAGATTCATAACAGTCGTCACCAGCACATTCTCTGGCAATCTTATTCAGATAATGAGAAAAAACAGTGAACATATGAGGGTCTCAGAAAACTTTTAATTTACGATATAATTGCCCACCGTTTCCTTTTCATTTATGAAGTTACATTTCAAGCTTCAGGTAAATATTTTAATTTGTAAATGATTATCTAATCCAAGTAACATATTTTTTTTCTTAGTCATCACTTTCCAACTTCCTCTTTATCTTTGAGAACAATTTGAGATGCGCATTTC